TTGGGTCCAGTGGCGTTGTAAACATCTTAGTGTTGGCAGGGATCTCTCTGTGTGGCTTCCCTGGCTTCAGAGGTCTGGTTGCATCCATGTGGTCTGTCCGGCTCAGGGCACTAGGGTAGTTCCATGTGTCTTGGCAGCTGCAGTGTTTCCCAGGGAGTGGCAGAGACAGTCTCCCACCTCCAAAGAGGAAATACTGGAATTCCCAGCATCCTTAGGGGAAGGCTATGCCCACATAGAAGCCTCATTGGCTATCACCTGATCAACAGGCTAGATTCCACCCCTCCATGCTTAATTCTTAAATCGACAATTATATAACCACGACACTGATTTAAGATAACAGCATGCAGCTGTGAAATTTTGATTCCTGCTCAGGAAAAATGCCACAGAAACGTATGTTATGTTGAACACAGCTTACAAGGACAGAGCTATGGAAAAAACTCAAGTGTATGAGTTTTTTTTCTCTTCTCTAAAAGGTGAAATGTTGAATGATGACAAACCTCCTTCAAGACAACTTCCCAAATGAATGAAAATGTCGACTATAGTGCATTTGGAGTTCATTCCACCAGGTCAGACTGGTAATCAAGTTTTCTATTTAGAGGTTCTGAAAAGACAGCATAACTGTGTGCTACAAAAAAGGCCTGATTTGTGGCCAATGTGGGACTGGTTTTGCCACCACAACAATGCACCTGCTCACGCAGCCATCTCAGTGCGCCAGTTTTTGGCAACAAACAACTTGCCTCTCTTGCACCAGGTACCTTACTCAGCTGACCTTCCTCTGTGTGGCTTTGTTTTGTTTCCTCGAGTGAAGAGGGACAGAAAAAGACAAATTTGCTAATTTGATGATGTAGAAGTGGTGAAGAAAAAAACTAGAGAGGTGCTGTCCGCCATCCAAGCAGGTGAGTTTGAAAAATGTCTCTTGAGAATGGAATCACAGATGTGACAACTATATTAAGTGTAATGAAGGGTACTTTGAAGGTGACAAGGTTGTTTTGTAAAAGAATTTAAATACACAGCTTTGAAAAAAACCCACCCCTCGTATTTTGGGATATTATACCTGCAAGACATTCATGCACAAGCTAGACAGCATTATTAAAGGTGAATAATATTTGAGTATGCAGTCCAGTCATGGGAACAGCATGAGGAAAGGATGGGGATAGGCAGAAAGTATGGGAATATTAGAGTTGATTATAATATTGAGTATTTGTAAGGGAGTAAGGGAAATAAGGCTGAGATAGTTATTCATGGAGAGACTTGAAAGCCTGGCTAAGAAGCATATTACAGAGGCTAGGAAGCTTAGTACAGATGTTGACTCCAAGGAACATAAGTGGGAGAGAGAGGGCAAGGATGATGTCAGGAGTTAATTTGGTATTGAAAATCAAATTTGGATATGATCAAACGATTCAATTGTATGATTTGTAAATTGTATGGTAATAAAACTGTTGGGGAAAAAAAAGAAAATTTGGGGGGTGTATTAGATAACCTCCTAGATGGCTCCCAATGATCTTCATCTCCTGACACGATCTAGGAAATTCTCTTCCCTTGAGTGTAGTCTGGATCTAGTGACTTGTTTCTAATGAAGAGAACACAAAAAGACTGGGTTATAAAAGATTAAGTTTGTCCTCGCTTTTTTTCTCCTGCTCTTTGGCTTCCTCTATCTGTAGTAAGCTGCCCAGATGTTCCTACTTGGTTGAACCTTGATTGAATTGAGCATACTGCCATCAGAATAAAAGCAGAATTCTATCAGCATAGAAGAAGATGGACCTATGGATGACAGGCAGACAGCTGACTATATTTGTCTCAAGTGACTAGGTGTACAAATATGCAATGGTAGGTGCTATGAAGAATCAAAGGAGAGCTGAGCTTTTTATCAAACCTTTCAGAAATTATGTATTTCAATAAATATACTGTTTTTTAAGAGACTCAGCATAGAAGGGTAAACTGTTATCCCACTGATCCTTTGGTTACTCAATCTAATCCATTCTCCAATGAACATATTTGTCACATGTCAAATGTGCTATCAACTGTAAAGGCCAGCTCTAAAGAGTCATTCCCAACGTGATGGAGCAATATGTTTTGGGAATAAGCATTTAATCAGTTTCCCTTAAGTTATAACTTAGAAATGTAACCCTTCTTAGATGGCTATGTTCTTTTTCTTTTTAAAAACAACCACCACCACCAAATCGGTCATGTTATGGTCTCCCCTCAACATACCTTGCTATTAATGTGGTTAGGAACAAAGGTGAATTGAGGGCCAACAACATAGGATTATTTAATCTGGTAGCAAATTTTGTTTACAGGCAACATAGTCTGAGAGTATTTAGGGCAGATGAAGATCAGTGAAAGCTGAAATGGAAGATCAACTTCAGAAAAGTAGATCGTATACAGCCATGAATGATGATCTAATGGGGCTTTGACCTTTATTTCCCACCTTTGCTACAATGATTCCTTGAATCCTTTAATAGAACTGTTTATCCCCTTTTTATTAAGTACCCAGTTACTTATCTTTTTAAAAATCCATGTACAGTATTTATCTACTAAATATTGTGTTTTTTGTTTTGCAATCTTGATTAAATAATTTCTGGGGGCGGAGTCGGGGAGAGGATTGGTGTTTTGAGAGCTGACTTGGCAGTCACATGGGTGAAGATTTGAATTCAAGCTCCAGTAGTACTGGCTTTGTGGTCTTGTGCAAGTTCCTCACTCCCTCTGGAAATAACACGATGTAGGAAAACACAACGAGGCATAGTAGTTACTTGTTGGGCTGTGATCCACAAGGTCAGCAGTTCAAAACCACCAGCCACTCTAAGGGAAAAAGACAGGCCTTGCTACTCCTTCAAAGAGTTACAGTCTTAGAAAGTCATGGGACAGACGTACCCTGTCCCATAGGGTCTTCACTGAGTCCACATTAACTCGACAGTATGTATGTGTCAGGGAAACACAAGCCACAGTGTCCCACCTCAAGAGAGCACTGAACAATGACATCTGCTGTGTTGATGAAAGATGGAGATATTATAATATAAAACCATGGACAGATCTGGATTCTGCTGCGTCACTTCTGAGGACGTCCCAACTTGGGTTTGACCACATTGTCAGTGTTACTGTACACTTGCTACACGTAAATGGCATTTTTTGGGACATTCTAATAATCCCTGCCTTAGAAATAGCAGACAGATCAGGTACTTAGGAAGTTCTATTTCATTATTTGTGAAGGCCCCAACCATGTGACTCAATTGCTGAGTTGAGGGAAGGCATCATCCTACATGAAAAACTGGCAAATACTCAAGAGGTTTTGGAGGTTCTGCAGTTAGTTGATACTGTGTATTGGGGCTTAGGCACCAATCTAAAATAATTTATGCTTTCAATCAATTGCAGTTGTCAATGAGCCTGTGAGGGAACCCTTACTTGGACTGGCTGGCTTTTACTGCAACTTCGATTGCTAATACCAAAGAGTAGTTCCACAAGCAGAATATGGCATCAAGTTTCTGCATTGCAGAATATCCATGGATCCAGAGGTGTGTACCATGAAATAGCTGTGGGTGTTAGACATCTAACAAGTTGCTTTATTCTTAATTGCTGGCATTTGCTTAACTGTTTTCATAATTCTCATTTATATTTTTATGTTCCAGTTTGTTTACATAGGCCACAGTTCCCAATTGCCTTTATTTGCTTAAATGTTTCTTTAATTTTATTTGCGATTTTATATATGTTGTTTAGCTTACATAACTCATTGTTTGTAGTGGGCTAGAAATAACCATAAATCTGTATTGCTAATTAGCCTCATCCCCATGACTGATTAGTTGAGATTATGAGCCTAGGAGGAGGGCAGCCTGATAGTGAGTCACAGGATCATTGAATTCTAGAGCTGGAAGGAATCTTAAAGGCTATGGTATTTTTCAGATAGAATTCTGTGGTTTTACCTCTTTAACACTGGAGAATTATGAAAGGTTGTTTGCTCTTAACCCTTTTGCAAAAACGAGTAAGGATTTGATAACAGCTTTGAAAACAAATTGAGAGAGAGAAGAGAAAACCTAATCCATGTCTATGAGTAGCCCATAATGGAAGGTTTGACAGTAGAGCTAAAAACTTGATATGTAAATGAGCTATAGAAGAGAAGGGCATATTAATGAATGTGGAGGGATTTTCTTCTCAGGTAAGTACTGTAAGTTTAGTGAATTGTTGGGAACTCCCTTCTCAGCAGCTGTGCAGCTTGTAAGGAATTTAGCTTGCCTAACTGTACGGTTAGCTATTAGCTTTGCAGTGGGGAGTATTTAAAAGTACACACAACATATGAAGGAGAGAACCTGGAACTGAGTAGCCTACTTCATTCCAAGAATTCATCTGGCATTTAAAGAACTGCTTGTCCTACATTAAACCTTGCAGAGTAAGAGCCATTTTTCATATCCTCATATCCCTATTTTTGGTTTCAGGTAAGATAGCTTACCATGTCTGGGAATGGAGCAAGGAGACTTTTCAGGACTACCTAATCAAATGACCATCTAGAGCAGTGGTTCTCAACCTTCCTCATGCCGCTACCCTTTAATACAGTTCCTCATGTTGTGGTGGCCCCCCCAACCATAAAAGTATTTTCGTTGCTACTTCATAACTGTCATTTTGCTGCTGTTATAATCGGGTGACCCCTGTGAAAGGGTCGTTCGACCTCCCCCCCCAAGGGGTCGTGACCCACAGGTTGAGAATCCCTGATCTAGGGTGAGCTCTGTGGGTCCCAAGTGGAGAAAACGTATGTTGATGCCCCTGCTTGGGAAGTCATATTAAGAGTAAGCAAACGTGTCCACAAGAGGTAGAAGTCCAGGTCCCATAACATGATGCCTTCAGTCACATGTAGACAGAGCACAATGGAATAAGAGGGCTTGTAGATATGAAAATCTATAGCCGAAGTCACCGACATTCAGTGACTGACGTAATGGAGAACATTGACAGGAGAAATCCAGTTTATCCCTATCCAAAGTGTCTTTGGTGTAAAGGACCCGTTTTCTGTTTTTCAGTTTCAGTACATTTGGCGGCAGTAAAAGCAAATGATGCCAGAGGAGTAGTCCCTGAATCACCAGGAGTTGCAGGGTCTAAAGAGTATATGTAGTAGGCCTTGGCATTAACCCTGGTCTTCAAGCTCAGGGAACCACAGGCATCTTTTTCAAGGGAGAGCATGGTATGCAGATTTGCTCAGTTCAGACTTCGCGCAGCAACTTCCCCAACTGGTCGTCCCTCGAGGGATATAGTACAGGGTCCCAGGAGTGCCAATTCTGAGTAGCCCCCTCTCAGTTACTATGGTGATCGCGGAGGGGCGGGGCTACTACCCGCTCCTTCCCCGCCTCCGCCCAAGAGATTTCGAACACTCCAATTGGGACCCCTTTCTTTTGCCTCTGTCCCGCCCTTCCTTGCTTCAAGAGCGATGCGATTGGCCCGAACAGGCGATGGGTACTGAGGGTACCACCTCTTGGCAGGAAAAGCGGGAAAGTGTACCCGGCGCTGTCCGAGGAGTGAAGCTCACAGACCCTACAGGGAAGCACACGGTTAGCTTTAAAGAAGAGTTGCTTCCTGTTCCACAAACAACCCTCAAATCCTTAAAGACTGATAATATTTGGAAGCTCGAGGGAGGGGGGATGCCCAATATGTTAGGGCAGGAGTGGACATTATGGGGGGGAGGGCACGACGGGGGTGTTAAAATCCTCGAGCGCGCCCTCCAGCGCTGAGGATCAGAGCCCAGAGGGGGGCGGGCCAAACCACGGGGGCGGTACTAGTGGCCACGGTGGGAGGGACAAGGTCCAATGAGTGCGCGCACCGCCCCCGGGGGTGGGGCGTTTAGGCGCGCTCCCCCGCCCTCCTCGCTCCCCTCCTCCCACCTCCCGGCGCCACGGCCGCAGTGAGTGAGTGGCACTGGCAGCCTGTCAATCCCTCAGCCGAGCGGCCTTCGAGCCCGGTCCGTGGCGGCTGCTGGCGGTGTGCGCGGGTCTGGCTGTGGCGGCGGCGACTTCTCCCGCC